GATGGAGTTTCGCTCTATCACCTAGGCTAGAGCGCAATAGCTCGCTCTTGGCTTTCAACTTCCCCCTCCCGGGTACAAGCAATTCTCCTGCCTCAGCTTCTTGAGTAGCTGAGATTATAGGCACCTGCCACCATGCTCTGCTAATTTTGTATATTTAGTAGAGATGGGGTTTCACCATGTTGACCAGGCTGGTCTTGAACTCCTGACCTCAGGTGATCCACCCACCTTGGCCTCCCAAAGTGCTGGGATTACAAGTGTGAGCCACCACATTCGGCCATGCACAGCTAATTTTAAAATTATTTAGTAGAGATGAAATCTCCCTATGTTGGCCAGGCTGGTCTTGAACTCCTGGCCTCAAGTGATGCTCACACCTTAAATTCCGCAAGTATGGGGTTATAGGTGTGAGCCACTGCACCCCACCCTATTATTCTTACATGCCATCTACCAAACTTTATAGCTTAGTGTCCACAGGGTATGTTCATTGAATAGGGGTTAAGTGCCCCCTCTTAACCTTCAGCCTGCACCAGTTTCTCCTTCCTCTGGTTCACCTCAAAGAGCAGTTGATAAGAAACAGCATACACTTCGAGGTGAACCTCATGTATATGCTGTTTCTTATCAGCTGCTCTTGCAGGTATTGGTCTGGTCTCAATGAGATGGTCAAATCTGTGAGGGCAAGAAGAGCTTGCGTTTTTCTTATGTGACTCATCTCTCACTGCTTGGAACCTAGCACAACAAAAATGCTAAATAAGTATTTGATGATTGGTTGATTGACAAACATACCATATACCAATCAGTTACATTATCATTAGGAAAGCAGGTTTAGGCCAGGTGCAGCGATGTAAGCCTGTAATCCATACACTTTGGGAGGCCGAGGCAGGTGGATCGCTTGAGAAGAGGAGTTTGAGACCAGCCTGGCCAATATGGGGAAACCCTGTCTATACTTAAAAAAAAAAAAAAATTAGCTGGGTGTGGTGGCGCATGCCTGTAATCCCAGCTACTCAGGAGGCTGACGCACTAGAATTACTTGAACCCAGAAGGCAGAGGTTGCAGTGAGCTGAGATGGCACCATTGCACTCCAGCCTGGGTAATGGAATGAGACTGTCTCAAAAAAAAAAAAAAAAAAAAGAAAAGCAGGTTTTTTTCATATCTCATTAAAGATGCACCATGATAGGTTGTTATTTACTAATGTACCAGATGAAGCCACAGAGCACATTCATCAAGGATAGAACTCTCCTCGGTCCAAGGATAGAAGCGATGAATCAGATTGTAAGGAGCTTATGGTCTCATTTGGGAAATGCCATCTATAAAAAGTGAATTAATAAGGAAATATATGAAAAGATAATGGAATTTTAGTGCTAGAAAAGATAATGAGGACCTAGACTAGGAACTGGCAAATGTTTTCTGTGAAAGCCAGGTAGTAACTATGTCAGGCTTGGCAGGCCTCATGGTCTCTGTTGTAACTACTCCACTCTGCCAGTCACCAGCAGGCAGCATTTGACTCCAGGCTACAGTTTGCCAACCCCTGTCCATGGTATTGCAGTAAGTGTCTTCAGAGAAGAAGAATTGGGCTGGGCGCAGTGGCTCGTGTCTGTAATCCCAGGATGTTGAGAGGCCAAAGCGGGAGGATTGCTTAAGCCAAGGAGTTTGAGACCAGCCTGGACAACATAGTGAGACCCCACCTCTAAAAAACAGAAAAAACAACAAGAAGATATCTGGACTCCTGTGATTAGGCAGGCAGCCCTGCAGTGGGAGGTGGGAGTTGTCCTGGTATGATCATACCTTGAAGGTATGATCAGGTTTGGAAAGCAAAGAGGAGGAGAAGCAGATGTTAAAGTCAGATGACCACCAAGAGCAATAAAGCAAAGCTGGGTAATTTGGGAGAAATGGTGAGAAAATAATTTGGCAGGAAAATAATTTACATTGACGAATAGACTGAAAAGACGGTGGGACACTTTGGAGAACAGGCTAGTCCTGTATGTAGGCCAGAGCATCTGGAAATCCTCCACTTAAATAGCAGAGGGGAATGATAACTTGATGCTATTTCTATAAATTGTTTTATCATAAAAGTTAATTCAATTTGTCATTCTATTCCATAATGTTTGTTTTAGCAAAAACAATTAATGTTGGGCACAGTGGCTCCTGCCTGTAATCCCATCACTTTGGGAGGCCAAGGCAGGCAGATCACTTGAGGTCAGAAGTTTGAGACCAGCCTGGCCAACATGGTGAAATCTAAAAATACAGATTTTTTTTTTCTTTTCTTTTCTTTTTTTTAGATGGAGTTTCGCTGTTGTTACCCAGACTGGAGTGCAATGGCATGGTCTCGGCTCACCACAACCTCCGCCTTCTGGGTTCAAGCAGTTCTGCCTCAGCCTCCCAAGTAGCTGGGACTACAGGCGCACACCACCATGCCCAGCTAATTTTTGTATTTTTAGTAGAGACGGAGTTTCACCTTGTTGACCAGGATGGTCTCGATCTCTTGACCTCGTGATCCACCCGCCTCAGCCTCCCAAAGTGCTGGGATTATAGGTGTGAGTCACCGTGCCTGGCTTCTTTTCTTTCTTTCTTTTTTTTTTTTAACTGAAAATACAAAAATGTATTTCTAAAAGTATTTATTAAAAATACAAAATACTTTACTAAAAATACAAAAGAATTAGCTGGATGTGGTGGAGGGCACCTGTAATCCCACTATTTGGGAAGCTGAGGCAGGAGAATTGCTTGAACCTAGGAGGCAGAGATTGTACTGAGCCAAGAATGTGCCATTGCACTCCAGCCTGGGTGACAGAGTGAGATTCCATTTCAAAAAAAAAATTAATGTCATGAATTGCTTACCATTGCATAAAATTTAATGCTTTAGGAAAATGTGCTCCGTTTATTCAGTGGTTTTGAAGGCTTCACCGCACACTCCTGGAAGTCCTCTTACTTTTAGTTTGAGAAGGATGGCTGTAGGGAATGAGAAGGATTCTGATAAGGGCTGGGCCAGCAGAAGGAGACCCTCTAGAAAGGTTCAGTATGATGTACTCAGATGACTGGGTTATGTGCACAGGGACTAAAACCTGGGGGCACAGGGACAATTAGAAAGCTGTTTTCCTAGACAGCTGGGAAGTCATGAGGGCTGTGTCTGAGAGACTAAAAAGGCAGAAGACAAATATATTCAAGAGGCAAGGATGCCAGGGTTTGATGAAAAACAGTTGGGCAAGTAAGATATATACATACAATAATTTCAAACTCCAAACTAAGACAGAAGACTAATCTTTTTTTTGTGTTATAAGTTTAGAGATACCATATTTTGTTCTCAGATGCATGTGTCAACATTTTAGCATATCTGGAAGCAGAATGCATCAAACCATTGATGAGATAACCCAGTTAATTGCAGGCTCTGTTCTTTCCTGGTGGCACACAAATTATGAGGTGTCTTATCATGGCATCTTAAATTTGTTAAAATATGATATTTGTAAGGTTTGAATTATAGATTTATAGCTAATCATCTCATTTGGGGACCATTAATATGACAGTATAAGCTACCCCAAGGGTCAAGATGAGATCAGAGGCTTTTTGAGTCTATCATGAGGATTTTTGATTACATGCTTTAAAAAAAGGTGGTTCTCAGGCCGGGCACAGTGGCTCATGCCTGTAATCCCAGGATTTTGGGAGGCTGAGGTGGGTGGATCATGAGGTCAGGAAATCGAGACCATCCTGGCCAACATGGTGATACCCCATCTCCAGTAAAAATACAAAAAATTTAGCTGGGTGTGGTGGCCTGTGCCTGTAGTCCCAGCTGCTCGGGAGGCTGAGGCAGGAGAATCGCTTGAACGCGGGAGGCGGAGGTTGCAGTGAGCAGAGATTGAGCCACTGCACTCCAGCCTGGGTGACGGTGCAGGACTCTGTCTCGGAAAAAAAAAAAAAAAAAAAAAAAAAACAGGTGGTTCTCATTTTTGTCAATATATAATTGATGGACAGCACAGACTAAGATCTTTTCCAGAATTTTCCCTTTCCTCCCATAACTGCTCAAAACAATGCAGGTTTGTGTGATCACTTGATTTTTCACCTACCACCCACCAGAAGCTACATTATATGCAAAATGTAAATAAATCAAGTCATATTCTTTATGACCTTTTAGAAGATATGGATATTGTCAGAATATGTAAAAAAGTTTTCTTTAGACAATGTTGTTGTCACTTATTTAGGCAATTACTTTTCTTTCTTTCTTTCTTTCTTTCTTTTTTTTTTTTTGAGATAGAGTGTTGCTCTGTCTCCAGGCTGGAGTGCAGTGGTGCAATCTTAGCTCACTGAAACCTTCATCTCCTGGATTCAAGGGATTCTCCTGCCTTAGCCTCCGGAGTAGGTGGGACTACAGATGCACGCCACTATGCCCAGCTAATATTTTTTGTAGTTTTAGTAGAGATGAGGTTTCACCATGTTGGCCAGGATGGTCTTGATCTTTTGACTTCATGATCTGCCGCCTCGGCCTCCCAAAGTTCTGGGATTACAGGGGTGAGCCACCGCACCGGGCCATGACAGTTACTTTACAGTTGAAGTTAGCTCCAAAGTTTTCTGAAAATTCCTCTAAAACAATAAATTGGTGTAATATTCCAAACGTTTAGATGCCCTTCCACTAGAACGTAGTCCATGAAGTGTGAGCTGCTGCCACCATTCTTGCCTCAGTCCGTGAATGTCAGAGGAAGCACTGGGCGGACTGGGGGCTTTGGGATGAAACGTGCGGAGCTTCCTCTTGCTTCATGGTTTCCAAGCTATATCCATTTCTGTGCCCCACTTATTTCCTGCTTTTTTTTTTTTTTTTTTTTTTTTTTAAGAGTCAGCCCTCTCTCCCTTTTCTATTTTCCTACTAGGTAGAGTGATTAACTCATTCATATATAAATGTCAGATAAAATTATTTACGTCCCTACTCCTCTAATGGCTGTTGCGTTTGCAGTCATGAGCTCAAAACTTTAGTCAAATTGGGAAATTTTAAGAACTTGAACTTATATATATATATATTTTTTTATCTTCAGGGTGCCTGAACTTTGCAATCTCTTTAATAAAACAACTTCCCCTGTGCAGTTTGTCCTCCTTTATCACCCCACCCCGATGCCCAGGTCTTCAGGAAATAGCATCAAGCCCATATTTCTGTAGAGTTCAGAGTTCTGTGAGGTACAGCATTCCTTCCCATGGGATCTTAGAATTCCTAGAGTTGCAGAATTTTGCTGATTAGACCCAGGTGGTATCAGGAGTCCAGACTTGCTTAAACCTTGGCTCAGAATTCCATAGGAGCTCATAACTCCATGGGGCCCAGAGTTCCTGGCTCAGGAACATTGGAAGGCCTGGGATACAGTGGCTTAGCCTCAAGCAGAAAGGTGAACAATGTCTTTATGGCTTAAAGGTATACGAAATAATGTCACTACATCGGAGCAGCGCCTCTGCTTGCACACCTATGGGCGTCTGCAGCTGTGACACGTAGAAGTTGGCCACGTCCAGATCGGTGGCTCCAAAGTGGGCAGCCACACGCACACCCTCGTGCAATGTGAAGCTCACCTGATGACCCACCATGGCCAGCAGGCTTCGGAGGTATCGCTCCCGAAGGGCGGCTCGGGCCCTCTGCTCCTGGGATTCCAGGGATTCTTGAGCTATGGGGCACTCCTGGATTTGAGGAACCTCTGGCTTCAGAGGAGCTCTCCGTCCATCAGGGGCAAAGCCACGGCTGAAGCCATCAGGGCCCCGGGGCAGCCGGAGCACAGGCACAGGAATGGTCACTGGAGTCTGCATTGTCTCAGGCGCGATGCCTTCCTGGCCCCTTGCACTTTCGGTTCCCTGTATCTCCTCTCCGTGAGCTTCAAGGTGGCCACGGTGCTTTTCCGCCGCTAGATGTCCAGCTCCCAGAACACTGCCTCCAGACTCAGACGCGGCGAGCGATTCCGCTCCAGGTAAAGCGGGATGACTGCCACCGACGCTGCTGTTATCATAGCCATGTATTATTTTCCCGAGGGGGAGTTTTCCGACTTCTCCCTTCTCCTCACCCCACCCGCGTGGGACATTCCGCTGCCGGTGACCGGGACCAAAGAGTCCCTGATGCGGGCGTCTGGGGACAAGAACGTCCCTCCTGCCGCAGCTGCAGGCGCGGCCCTGCGTCTTCGCGTCACTCCGGCCGTTTGCACCGGGGTGGGCGTCCAGACCTGAGGCCGGGGAAAGGGAACCTGCTGGCGACCCCCTCACCCTTGAACTTATATTTTAAAGTACAAGACAGGCACAGTGGCTCATGCCTGTAATCCCAGCACTTTGGGAGGCTGAGGCAAGAAGATCACTTGAGGCCAGGAGTTTGATACCAGCTGGAGCAAGATAGACTCCATCTCTGCAAAAAATAAAAAAATTAGTTTGGCATGATGGCATGTGCCTGTAGTCCCAGCTACTTGCTAGGCTGAGGTGAGAGGATTGTTTGAACCCAGTATGTTGAGGCTGCAGTGAGCCATAATTGTGCCACTGCATTCCAGCCTGGGCAACAGAGCAAGACTCTGTCTCAAAAAACATTTTTGAGACAAAAACAAAAATGCACCATAAAATGTCACTTAGAAATAGTAATAATAATACTTCATAGGGTGATCATATAGGTCAAATGAACTGATTTTTTTTGTGTGTCTGGCACACAGTACACACTTAATTAATGGTGGCTATTACCACTATTTATTGCTTTTCGGGATATTGTTTAGCAAATCTCTGTACTATTAGAAGCTGTTATCTCTGCAATGGCAGCAGAGACAGCACGTTCTCCTCCCCAGTTGCATAAGGTAAGTGTGATCTGATATTACAGACAATGAGCTTCATTAGCTACAGATTATGTGACATATTTCTGGTGACCACGGTGGTCAAGTTCAGCTTGCCAGAAATAAGGAGCAACTCATAACATGTCTCACTGAGCAATAGCTTGTTTCAAGTGCAGACAAATTCCTCACTTAGATGCCTTATAAAACAGTGGAGAGGTTATGTGTAATGGAAATGTAGGGAAGGTCTGCTAACATTGTACTCTTCTTCCCTTAATTTTCCCCACCCACAATTTAAATATTTTTAATAAAGCAAATTGTGTAATGCATCAATGAGATGTCCTTCTCAGAACATGGTTTCAAGGAGATTCCAGTTGGACGGTCAGGCTCTGAGAAGTGGAGTAAGGTTTGTCGGGTCCTGCTGGGATTGGAATTGATTAATGGTGTTGTGATAAGCAGGGAAACAGATCAGTGGCAGCTCCTGCTCCAGCTGTCACAGCTGTGCCTCTTCTCTCTTGCAGCCTTTAAAGCACCTCCTTTCCTGTGGAATTTCTGTAAATTATTTGCTCAGATGCCAAGATGCCATCCATAGAAGCAGCTGGCTCTGGGAATCTGGTCAGATGCACGTATTTGTTGTGGTTTAGGACATTACCTTAGCAATTCCCCATTCCTGCCTTCCCCAGGAGTGAGGGGGAACAAATGCACTCTAACTTTGGAGAGCCAGTGAGCAGACAGCCAAATTGCAAAGCCAGGTGCATCTTTAGTAGTGGAATGTTATACATTGTTTCTTTTAGAAGAAGGTTAGCAATGTATAACATTCTTTCTTTTTCAAAGGTTTTTCTTTTATAAAAAGAAACAATGTATAACATTATAAAGAACCATTTTGTTTCTTCATATTTCTTTTTCTAAAATGTTTTACATAGCCTGGCCAACATAGTAAAACCCTGTCTCTACTAAAAGTACAAAAATTAGCAAGGGTTTTGTGGCCCATGCCTGTGATCCCAGCTATGTGGAGGCTGAGACATGAGAATTGCTAGAACCTGGGAAGTGGGGGTTGCAGTGAATCAAGATTGCACCACTGCACTCCACACTGGGTGACATTAGAGAGACCCTGTCTCAAAATAAAATAAAATAAAAGTTTTACAGAGGTGACTGACAGGTGAGCCTCACATGTGCTTTTGGAGGCTTCCACATATAGAATGAATTGCCAAGTGAGACTTGGTTTCTGAGTTAATGCATCCATTGCAGCAATGCATTATCATCCCCACCTATACTAAGGTGGCCCATTGCATAGCAACACTCAGATAACCTCAATACAGGCTTGCACAGCAGTCTCAGAAGGGTCACCCCACTCCCTTTTGAATAAGGATTTAGTTTGGCTGAGGGAGAAGCCAAAGGCAAGTCACATAAGCAGAGCTCCAAATTCCCCTCAAGGTGCAATGTGTGGGTGAGGTTTCAAGGTCGCTAAAGACATCAGTAATAGAAGAGGTGTTTATCATGTTAGCTGAACAGGTGTTGCGATTCCCATATTACACATGAAGAAACCGAGGCTCACAGAGGTCGATATAAGAACTAGAAATAAGACCCAGATCTCCTGAGTCCTCATGCTGTTTCTTCCCATAACACTGCATCTTATTAATACTTTTTTTTTTTTGAGACAGGGTCTCACTCTGTTACACAGGCTGGAGTGTGGTGGTACAATCACGGCTCATTGCAGCCTCAACGTTTCAGGCTCAAGCAATCCTCCAGCCTCAGCCTCACAAGTAGCTGGGACTACAGGTGCACATCACCATGCCTGGATAATTTTTTATTTTTATTTTTGTAGAGATGGGGTCTCACTGTGTTGCCCAGGCTGGACTCAAACTTCTGTGCTCGAGCTATCCTTCTGCCTTAGCCTCCAAAAGTGCTGGCATTACAGGTGTGAGTCACCACACGCAGCCTATTTTTCTTTTTAAAAAAGCAGAGTAGAACACATCATAATCTATAAAATCTCTTCCAGCTCTTATGCTCTAGAGGTCTATGATGCTGAAATACAAAACCTGGTTTTTCAGGCCTGGGCAACTGCAGTGGTTGGCATCGTTTCCAAGGCTGTGTCCTCAAATGTAGACTTTGTTCATTCTGAGAAGGTGAGTAGTACCTTTAAAGTCATAAATGGAATGAGATTATTTGACATTATTTGTTTCCATTGCATTGAAATATGACTTACTAAGTAGTATCCGAGTAAACAATGAGAATAATGCAATAAGCACTTAAGTTTAAAGCTTATGATCCCTTTTACAGCAGTGTCACAGATACGAGCAGAACTAAGTTAAAACGTTTTTGAAGAAACTCTTGTTTGGCCAATTTCACACTATTAAAATGGGACCTTACTAAAGCTACGTCAGACTTCCACATCACTCCAAATAACGTCCAACATTCCCCTACGAAAGCTGCCCTTGGCTTTGCAGCTTGGCTGTCTGACTCTCTCTCTTCATTCACTCTTCTACATGGCACCGCAGGTCATTTTTCTGAGTGGTGTTGGGAGACCCGTGAGCCTACTCTCTTATGAAAACAAGATTACAGAAATGTGTTTTCCATGGAAGAAAGTTGATTTTTAAATATACATTTTTTCTTTACTTCTAAACATAGAATAAAAATGTTTCCCTTTATTTTTAAATGCAAGATGCATATTCCTGTGCAGCTTGACCCGAACAGCTTTTGTCTTAAACTTCTACTATTTATTTATTTTGCCATTATCTGATATGTCAGCAGTGTTTCATAATGCCTTGTGTCACACAAAAGCAAACACAGTCACGTTACATTAATGACTAGCCTGGGATCATATAACTGACTGGCTATAATTCTATGCCCCCTTGCTATAAAAAACATGACCCTAAATCCTAACCGGCTTTGGAATAAAAGGCCCCACAATTATAATATGGTAACAAAGTTCATGTTATATACAATTTGATTGTTTCAATGCTCTTTGCCCATCCATTTTCATTTTACATGCTATTATACATGTTAGTAAAAAGTCAAGTGGAAATCCACTCTTTGGTATTTTAGGTGCAATGTTCATTCACCCAACATACTTGGCCAGATAAAACTAAATATATTGGAAACTTCTTTTATAATCTTGGTGTTTGAAGTTAGGATTAAACCCACCTTGCAGTGTAATTGTAATCACTGACATTTTCCATATGTATTTGGTTTCCTAAATGAGGGCTAGATAACCATCTGCATCTAAATATATGATCAGTCACCCCAATACCACCTGATTTTTAGCTAGACTAGTCTTTACCAGATACGAGTTACTCAACCCTTCTCTTGGGTCTCCTACTTACCCAAAGGGTTCAGCAGAGATTATTAGTAAAAGGAGCTATATATGTCCAAAACATTAGACAAAATAAGACTAGCAAACACAGCTCCGTGTGATTTCACCTTCCTCGAAGACAGGAACTGTTCTCCAGCATGCACTTTCTTCCTTCCTGTGAATCTAGCAGGGCTATTTTTTGGAGGCTAGATAGAAAAAGCTGCCACCATTGTATCATTTCCTTCAGTGCCAGCAGCTCTTATTCTTTTTAACAAGTGTTTAGGGGAAAGTGTTGATGCTTATTAATCTGTTTCTTGTCTTACGAATGTGCTTACACATGATTGGTGGTAAAACTGCATATCTGACAGCTCTCAATGTAATCTACATGGCAGGACAAGATTGTTACACTGAACAGATCTGTTTGGAATTGTTATTCTTTGTAATTACCTTCATTAAGTGAAAGCATGTGTCAATCAACTTTGAACTTTGAACATACCAGCAATTTGCAAGAAAACTGGTTTTCAATTTCTTATAGGCATATATGTGCTTGAAGATGAGTATATATGTAGGTAGGTATATATGCTGTATTAGAAACATGTTTTGGTAATTTTCTGAATATAAAGTTTCCCCCTGGTTTGCAGTGGTAACCTTAAATATAAATAAAGTATACATCAGCTCCAGGGAGTAAGATCAACAGAGTATGTTTAATAAATGGCTAATTTATGTAGTGGTATTTAAACAGATACTTTTAAAATAAAGAACACTCCTCCCTATATTTCTGCAATAGAAGTATACATTCACATGAATTTGAACTGCCACTCCTCAGTAGAAGTATAAATTTGAAAACATACTTACTTTTCTGCATTACTATAGATTGTACATAAACCATGGTGTTATCACTTTCTTGATTTGATCAGCGCTTACCTGGGCCAGGAATCTGCCACCAATGCGGGAACATTTCAAGAAAGTATCCGGAACTTATGCAGGTTAGTTAAGAGGTGCAAGGGTGGAGGCTGAGAGGAGGGTGAGGATCACAAAACTACCCATCAGGTACTATGCTTATTACCTGGGTGACAAAATAGTCTGTACACCAAGGCCCCATGACATAAATTACCTACATAACAAACCTGAGTCTGGCCATGGTGGCTCATGCCCATAATTC